CTACCTGGAACAAAACCCACTGGCACTGTGGTCTGGTTGGCCAGATATCTGGGAACAGCTTTCTGCCTCGGGTGTAGGGAATTTATTGTATCTTAAGAAGAAAGGTATCAAGCAGTTCAGTTTCCTTCCTGTACAGAAGAGGAAACAACCCGGAGGCAACCAGACTATTAGCGGCAGAGGGATCACAACCCCTGTCAGTGCAAAGGAGGCAAGTACTGTAATCAAGCTCAGGTTAAGCCCGGTTTGTTTTTGAGCTGACTGATAGGGAAGTGCCTTCATTGCAGAGAAGCTTTGCTCCTTCTCCACGGCAGCCCCTTGACATTGCATTATGGAATTCCACTTTCAGTGGCAGAAAAGATGGGACCTGGGGACCCATGCTGTTGAGGCTGCAGGTTGGTGCCAGCAGCCCTGCTTCTGCTGCTGACTCTTAGCCTTGGTCTCTAACTCCAAAAGAATATCAGGAGAATGCTTTCAGCCCTTGCTCTCTTTACCGTAAACTCTTTTCTCTGAAGGCCATTCTACTTCAACCTTCCCTCCCAATATATACACTTTATACTATAATCTATGGATTCCTGTATTTTACTTCCTGTACCTTTGCTCACACGGTTCCTCCATCATCTCCACATAAACCCCATTCATTCTTCAAGATCCCAGCTCAAATCTCAACCTTTATCAAGGAGCTTCCCAGATATCTCTAGTAAAAATTCTCTCTCCCTATGTATTCTCAAGAGGGAAGGGGAAAAAAGAGTAAATCACGTGTTTATTTAAACATTTGATCTATTTCAGGTATTTTGCATATGTTACTTAATCATATGAGGTAGACACTGCCCCATTTTAACTGTAAAGATAAGATTCTGAGAGTTTGAGCAGTCTGAAAAAGATCACTTTACTATGTAGTGGTGCTGGGATTTGAACGTAGACAGTCTGACTTCAGAGAACAACTTTCTAACCTACCACATTTTGGTCTATTACATTTACTAATGTAAATTCACTCCTGGCATAGTGTTTTGAATATAGGAGCCTTGAGTGAAGTATTTGTGACATCAAATTATCTTGCTTCCTCATTGTGTTTCTCAAGTACCTGTGACAGGATTTTCCCTGTCTTAATCACATAGGCATTGAGTAAATAGGAGCGAGAGCTAGCCAGGTGGGAACCTGAAAGTCAGGGATGGCTGCTTCCTGAAGTGTGGGTTCCCTGGATATAGTTACGCAAAGGCTTCCAGCCTGACAGATCTGCCAGGGATCTTACAGTAGTTTCCGCCACCCTTGAAAGGATGTTGCACTATATTCACAAAATTTTAGAATGTTAAAGCTGAAAAGGAGTATTAAGAAATCACATAATCTAGAGATTTCCAAACACTTTTAGTTGTGAACCCCTTTGTTTAAAAGTGGCTCTTTCTAAAATAATTTTTTAAACAGGTAAAGAAGAACCTGTAGTGAGTGGTACCTCCCAAAAACATCTTGTAAACCCCTAACACTGAGGAGCCCAGTGTGATAAACATAGTCTAACAGGTGAGGAACCTTAAGTTCAAGTGTAATGATGACCAGGCTTCAGAGCCCACTAGTTACAAAGCCAGTACGCGGACTCTGAGTTTCTGGAATCCCGTGCTTTCCATGGAGGGGTCCTCTTTATGCAGCATCTCTAAAGGCCATTGTGGACAAAGACTAAACTAGTGCTCAGAGGATGACAAATTTTACCCATGCAGGAGCTCACAGTCAAGACTAGTGAAGAACCCAGGGACACTGAAAAAAATAACGCACCTAACTACGGCTCATGGTTTCTAAATTGATTTTCGAGACTGAGAAGGGCATCAGCACCTTGGCCAGTTCCGGGGTGCGGTAGCACTGAGGGTCTATCCAAGTTAAGAAACCAGGGCTACGGGGGAGAAGGGGCATGAAGAGGCAGAGGTCGGACCCAAGTGGGAACTATGGACGGCGGGACCCTCACCGAGACCCCGCGCGGTCCACTTCAAAAAGGGGTTGCTCACGTACGGACAGGTGAGCGGTTCTCCATGAGTATTACGCTCAGTCCACTCCCACTCCAACCCCCGTTGCGGTGGGGTTGGGGGGGAAGTTCCGGGGGAAGCCGGACGGAAGGGGCGGGACTTGAGGCGGAAGTCCTCCCCGGTCGAGTCACGTGGGAGGGGCTGGAGGCGAGGGCAGGTGAGTGCCGGGCGATCCTCCTTTCAGGGCTCAAATCGTCGCGTGCCTTTAGTGCCCAAAGCCCATGTGACCTGTCCAGGCCCAGAGAATGACGGGCCCTATTTCCGGTGTAGAGTTGGACTCAGGAAGGATACGGGCTGGTTCCAACTAAGTGAATCTGGCGACCGACCAGACTCTGGGTGAAAGCCAGAACAAACCTGCCGTTATGAAGTGTCTCGGTGTGGAAGGAGGAGGCCCCCCAGGTGGCTCTGCTTCAGAGATGGGGTGGCGGGTGGCTGCCACCGAGATTCCGCAGCCGCCTACAGCCTTCCTCTGTGACCTGATTGTCTAAGGCGATGCCTGTGACAGGAAGCTGTCCAGGAAGCATCCCTCCTGAGGCCTCTGCCCCTCTAAGACGTATTGGAAGAGGGCCGAGGAGAGGGAGTGGAGACAGGGAAAAGTCAACGGTGTCTTTAATTGTGGGGAGGGGCGGGGGGGGTAACCCCCCTCTCCTCTTGGCTTGACAGGAATCATGGCACTCTGGCGGGCATACCAGCGAGCCCTGGCCAATCACCCGTGGAAAGTACAGGTCCTGACAGCTGGTGAGTGAATAGACCTGAGCGGGACCAGTGCAGCCTGATTTGGGAGGCAGAAGCTCACCCCACCACACCTTCCTCATTTTCTGCTTCTGTTGAGCCCCCTTGAAAGGTTGGCTGTCTCTCATCCAAAGCTGTCCCCAGTCTTTTGGTGGGTGGGCCCCCAAGGCTGTTCTTAAGGAAGGGTTATACCTGCTGTAAAGTAGGATTTGAAAGTCCTCAGAAAGCTGAGGAGTCATCCCTTGGGGTTAAAGGCATTGCCCCAGGAGACTTTAACTTAGAAAGTTAACAATAGCAAATGCTTGTCTAACATATTAACAGTGTGCAAAACACTTTCAACACATTATCTCATAGCTCTGCACAAAGATCTGTGAGCTAGGATCCCTTGAGTCCACATTAGATTACACACCTATTAAGTGCTGGGATCAGGACTCTTACCCCAGTTTATTTTTCTTAGTTGTTTTTTTTTTATCATGAAATAATATCTTAACATAGAAAAGAATGGTTAAGACATGTATGTAAGGTTTAAATAGTATTAAAACTGATTATTCTTGTATCAGCACCCAGCTTGAGAACCCTTGAGCACCTATCCTTAATTGATACAAACCAAGAAATAACTGGTTTCCTGAGTTTTGTTTATACCACTCTTTTGCTTTTCTTATAGTTTTACTACCCTTTTATGTATCCCCAAACAATATACTAATCAAGGATTTATGTTTACTCCAAATCCAGTGAGTGGCTAGTGCCTTACAAAGGTAACCCAGTGACTTAACCTGTATTTGTTACCATCTTTACTTTGCGCATTAGCTAAGAAGGGAGGGGATGGCACAGAGATACGGTAAGTTTTACAGGGGGGAGGACTAGAAGCTCTGAGACTGTTGGGGCAGTGCAAGAGTGATCGGGTTAAGATGGGATCTTGCCTATGTTTAGAGGAAGGGAAGAGGATTCTAGGGAGGACCATGGGCTTCTTAGAGGAAGACTGTTGAGTGGCAGGCTATGGAAGCCGGAGGAACAGCAAGCCTCTTACTGGAACAGCCCCACCTCAGCCCTAGAAACTTCACTGGATGACTGGCCAAGGGATGGACAATTTTGCCCCTCCCTGGGCCCCTCTCCAACCTCTGTGCCCAACCACCCCATGTCCTCAGAGTGTCCGTCAGCCTGCATGACTCACCTGGTTGCGTGTGTGGTGACTCATTCTGGACTGTGTGGCTGAGATGGGGACTGACACGCTGGGCCCTTTGCCAGCCTCAGACTCCCTCGGGGCCCTTCACTGCTGGACGGAAGTTTCCCCCTTGTGGCATCAAGAATAGAGAGGGAGAGCTAGTCCTTGTGTTTCCCTACCCAAGGGGTATGCAGTGGACACAGGAGCTGGCCTTCAGAGGGGCCCTCGCACAGATATATGGGCTATGCTGGGGTGCTGGTCTAGAAGCACTTTCTAGGAAGCACTTTTCTCAGACTTCTTCCCTGCTGCTAGTGTATTTGGATCAAACTGCAAATAAAGGGAGGAGGTGGGTTTAGCTCCTCAGGCTGATCTTAGATCCTAGCGCAGTGCTTCGTAGGGCCCCCTGGGGTAGCTTCTCACACTGGAAGACAAAATAGGGATTTCAGACTTGGAGTTAGAAGAGCAGGATTTGAATTTAAGAGTTGTAACCCTCAGTAGGTGCCCGAAGAGAGACAAGTAAGTGAGTAAACCTCTTGGAGCCTCAGTTTCCTCATTCAGGAATTGAGTTTAGTTAGCTGACCTCACAGAGTTAGTGTCAGGGTTATCTCTGTGAAAAGGCTTTAGAAATTAAGAAATGCTTAATAAACACAAAGGCTCCTGGGCTTGGCCCTTTCCATGAGTATTGTTAACCCACACACGGCAAGCTGTTCTTTTTTTTTTTTTTTTTTTTCCAGACTGATCTATTTATTTTTTAGAGAGAGAGAGCGCGCGTGCACAAGCAGGAGGGGCAGAGGGAGGAGGAGAGAGACTCTTGAGCAGACTGCACGCTCAGAGCAGAGTGTGATGCAGGGCTCAATCTCACGACCATGAGATCATGACCAGAGGCGAAATCAAGAGTAGGACGCTTGGGGTGCCTGGGTGGCTCAGTGGGTTAAAGCCTCTGCCCTCGGCTTGGGTCGTGATCCCAGGATCCTGGGATCGAGCCCCGCATGGGACTCCCTGCTCAGTGGGGAGTCTGCTTTCCTCTCTCTCTCTCTCTCTGCCTGCCTGTCTGCCTACTTGTGATCTCTCTCTCTGTCAAATAAATTTTTTTAAAAAAGAGTAGGATGCTTAACCGACTGCGCGCCCCCAGACACCCCAAGTGGTTCTTTTTCTAGTGGTGTTTTGGCTGTGTTTGTTCCATTTGCCTTAAATTTGAACATGGGTGATTATCTCAGCCTTGGTTCTCCAAGTAGCAGGGCCTGGGGCTTTGGTGCAGGTACTTTGTGAGGGAGTAGGAAGTCGTCCCGTGGGGGAGGAGGGCGAGCCAGTATGAGGAAGATCAGATTGCATACTGCTTAGGGCCCATGGCTGCTCCATCCCTTAAAGCTGACTGAGAAGCTCTTTGAAATGCCTCTGAGGACTATAGGGGAGAATAGCCTTTTCTGGAAAAGAAACCTTTACCCACCAGCTCTCCTCCTCCATTTGTCAAACACGTGGAATGTTGATACCTGTGTGCAGCCCCCAGGTGAGGCATCCACTGCACAGCCCTGGGTATGACCCAGGTTGAGCTGTGGTAGTGGGCGGAGTCAGGGATAAGTGAATCAGGATCTGAAATGATTCGAGAGAAGTGTCTGATAATGGGTAGTGTTGACCAAGCTAAAGTCAGGAACAGAGCATGCTGGGAAAAGGTCCACTGTGTGTTCCACACAGCCTGAGTCAGCCTCTTCCCGTCCTTTCTGAAGGGCCCTTCCAGTCTCCACTGGGCCCTGGGCCCAGCTCCATCCATTTTTGGCCACTCTAGTCCTGCTATGGGGCAGCTGAGCTGCTGCAGACACTGGTTTCCCTGGAGTCTGAATTCCGCCAGGCGTGCGCGCTCAGCAGGCACGGGAGCGTCCGGTCCTGCCCTGACACCATAGAGCAGGAGGCTGCAGCAGGGGCAGGGGTGATGTGTACTGGGGTCCCCGTGGTCAGTGGTAGAGCTGGCCTTAGCATGGAGCACACTTCCCAGTGATCTGCCCTGTACTCGAGACTACGGGGCCCCGGAAAGCTGAGCGTAGCCTTCACTGGTCTGGCTTACATACCTGAGAAGCTGCAGAGCCCTCCATTTTGTCCCATTTTCTGCAGTAGGACAGCTTCGGGCTGGGAATGGGGAGAGCATTCAGACCAGTCCCCCAGAACGCGCTCCCCCGTCTCTCGTTGCTAGGCTTCTGTTGCCTCTGGGGTTTATCAGAGCCGGCCCCCAGCCCAAGCAGCCCTTTAATTGTGGAGACTTCTGGGGAGGAGAGAGTTGGCAGCACTGCTGGCCCCATTCCAGTAGCTCTACCTGTCGCCCAGGCCTCTGATCCTCAAGGGCATGCTTCCTGCTCCCTATTCCACCTTTCTGCCCCCCAATCTTCTCATCTTCCATTAGCACTTTATTTTCTTGCAACTAAGACCCCATACACAAAAGCCACGAGAGGAACATAATAGGGGAAGTTGGGAACTAGGAAGACGGTGTGGAAGTTGGGGCTTTTCAACTAGCGGGCAGGGGGTGGTCCCAAATTGATCGGTGGCCAGAGGCAGCCTGCTCCCCACCCCCTCATTCCACTGAATCCAGTGGGGAGTGACGGCATGAGAACTGGCACGTACCCAAGGGCATGATGTCACACCTGCGCCAGTGTCTGCCTGCTGGGCTCCTCGCCCGGCCTGGCATCCGGCATCAGTGCCCGCAGCCCCTCGCCCTGCCCCATCAGGGCTCGGGCAGTACGTCTTTGCAGGTCTCCGGCTCCAAGCCCCTAGAAACAAGTCCAAGGCAAGGGGAGCCAGAGCACTGAAAGATCTAGACCAACCAAATATGTCAGGAGGACTCCCAGAACCCAGCTGGGGCCTGTTTGGGCTCTGGCGCTGGGGAAAGTGGAAGGAGAAACCTGAATGTCAGCTCTTCTTGCCCAAACTTGCTTGGGCGGAAATGCGGGCCTGCACTGGGCACTGACCAAAGCCTTCAACTGCTCCGGTGTTGCTGCAGGCCCAGCGCCCTGATGGCCTGTGGGCAGAGGAGGAATGGCTGGGCACGGTTTTGTCTGAAATGGACAGGGCTGGCAGGGGCTCCTCCCTCTCACTGCTGCCTTTCCACCTGACGGGCATGGTCTGGATCCTGGAATCCATCTTTTTCCAAGGCTGCTGGCTCCCTGGACTGTGGTTTTCATTCCTGCTCTGCCTTTAGCTTGTTGGGTGACTGTTGGCAAGTTGGGTGACTGTTGCCATCCCTACAAGGTGACAAGGAACAGAGAGGGTCACCTCCTGGGCAGTGAAAGACAGGAAGTGCATTAGTCTAAGAAGTGTCTTTGATGTGTGGCCTTTGGGGCCTTGCTTGGGCAAGGAGTCCCCTGGGAGTGGAAGGCACAGAGACTTCCTGGCGCCACTGACCCATGAGCCCACGTCTCTGCCCCTGCCGTGATTCCCTAGCCTCCTGTTCCTTGAGAGAAGGCCTGGGTTCAGCCCCAACTCTACTCCTTACTAAATAACCTCATCTCTTAAAGACGTTAAATGGAGGTGTGACCCCACCTCCCAGGCCTTTCGTGGGGATTAAATGCGTGAGATCCATCTGTAAACTGTAAACTTTTTGCCAGTAGGACATCAAGCTGTTAGGTCCCTTCATTTAAGAAGTGACTGCCTTCTGTTCTGCCCTCCTCAGGCTTTCTCCAGGTACCCTTGCCTTGATGCATGGCCACAGCAGCAAGCCCTCCCTGGGGGAGGTGAGGCAGGGGAAAGGGAGATGAGTGCTAACCGTGTGGAGCTGGAAACAGGCCTCCGCTTTCACAGGTCCTCACACATAGGCATGGGGGCTCCTCATGCCCTTCCCGGAGCGGGCCTGTTTGGGACTATACATTGGCGTTTTCCCTTGGTTGGTTTTCTGAGCACCTGCCAGGCCCTTGGTTAGGTGTGGTGGAGGATAAGAGAGCAAAGATGTCTAGGATTCTCTCTTCGCCCTCTGGGAGGTCATGGCTAGCATGTTCTGGGAAGAGCCTCCAGCACTTTGAGAGTTTCAGGGAGAGGAGAGGCAGGACCACCATGATGGGTGCGCTGGGGCCCCAGAGCTGCTCCAGGGCTGGGAGTGCCAGCAGCTGAGGCCAGCCGTGGGGGTCGTGGGGGTCCTGGCGCCAGCCCTCAGCCTTCCCCAGCTGCCTGGGCAGCGGCTGCAGCTCTGGGGCAGGGCTTTGCAGCGGCTGCGGGGGAAAAGTGGTGAGTGCACAGCCAGCGTGGACGTCAGAGCCTGCTCTGTACCAAGGACTAGGGTTAAAGGATGTGTTTGCCCAGCTCTGATTGAGGGCACAGGGACCGTGGTGGCTGAGGGGCTGGAGGGGGGCTCTCATTACTCAGTGATACGGGACAGGCGAGCCGGAGATTATCTGCTCACTCCCAAGTGACCCTGTGTGTGTGTGTTTGCTGGAAACCATCATGCCACCATAACTGACGGGGGGCTCTGTAAATAGTGATGGTTTCTATCTTGGTTTCTGGGTGTGGGCGTCTGACTAAGGTTGCTTGGGAAAGGGGTGTCTGTATGAATGAGGGAAGGGGAAGCAGGTACAAAGGCCTGGGGTTTGGGGGGAATGGCTATAATATCTATTGTCCCCCCAGTCTGAGGTTGTGAATGGGGGGATGTCTAGGTTTACCTGATTGTGCTAGGAGGTGACCAGGACTCCTACTTGTGGGGACTCTTACCAGTTCAGCCAGTCGTCTTCCTGCCTGAGACCACGTAAGCACTCATGCTTTAGAAAATGAATTATTCTTGCTGTCCTTCACAAAGAGAGGCCCCAAGACCAAGGTGAAGGACACTTTCCAGGGTCTCGCCTGGGATTAGGGGAGAAACCCCAGAGTTCCTTACCATTCTACACAGGATCTGTTCACAATATGATTCCTGGAAAAATCACCGTGTAGGAAGTCAAGCCACCTGGTTCTTGCCTTGGTTCTGCCACTTACTGGGTATGTAAGGTCCCAGACCTTCATTTCTATACCTCAAAAATAAGGAGTTTGGATGGAATTATCTGGAAGGCTTTTCCAGTTTTTTTTTTTTTTTAAGATTTTATTTATTTATTTGACAGACAAAGATCACAAGCAGGCAGAGAGAGAGGAGGAAGCAGGCTGCCGCTGAGCAGAGAGCCCGATGCAGGGCTTGATCCCAGGACCCTGGGATCATGACCTGAGCCAAAGGCAGAGGCTTTAACCCACAGAGCCATGCTTTTCCAGTTCTGATAGTCCATGGTTCTCAGTGCCAAGCACCTTAGGTTCCCCTTCATCTGCAGTCACTGACTGTGACTTCCCTTTAGGACTTTGTGCACAGTCTGTGGGTCCTGGCCTGATGAAGGCTGCTCAGCTCCGTGTCTAACATGACACTTTGAAGTGGCAGTAAAGGACTGGCCATTTGCCCCAGAATTAATCTCTTAGGCTCTAAGTGTCAGAGCCTCATTCAGGGACTTCCTTCTGTCCCTGGAATGGCAACCTACCTTCAGGAGGTATCCTGACAACACCTGTGTACCCTGCTCAGGGTCCCTGATGGGCCTGGGTGACATTATCTCACAGCAACTGGTGGAGAAGCGAGGTCTACGGGGACACCAGTCTTGCCGGACCCTGATCATGGTCTCCCTGGGCTGTGGCTTCGTGGTAAGTTCTGTCTACAGTGGGGTTGCTGGAGGACTGGATGGTGGTTTTAGTTCCATGTCATTCTTCAGTTTCCCTTGGCCTCCCCTGCATCTAAGCCAACCTTAGATAGGATTTGGTTTCTAATCCTTGAGAGAGGAGCATTGTGATGCAAAAGCCAAGCGCTCCCCTCGCCACACACCCTCTCTCCCCTCTGGGGTTTACTTTCAGGGCCCTGCCGTAGGAGGCTGGTACAGGGTCTTGGACCGCCTCATCCCTGGCACCAGCAAGGTAGACGCGCTGAAGAAGATGCTGTTGGATCAGGTGAGCAGAGGGAAAAGGGACTTGGGAAGCAGGAGCTGGCATGGTGGGGGGAGGGAGGGGATTTCTGTGCTCACAGAACTTTAATTTCTCTCCCCAGGGGTGCTTTGCCCCATGTTTTCTAGGCTCTTTCCTCTCACTGGTAGGAGCACTCAATGGACTGTCAGCCCAGGACAACTGGGCCAAGCTGTGGCGGGTGAGCAGGGCAGGTGGGGGATGGCCTCCAGCTGGCAGCCTGGCAGTCCCTGGGGAATGAGGCAGGCTTCGTGGGGAGGAGCCGGTGGGATGCAGGCAGAGCCCCAGGCTCCGGCGAAGACAAGCTGGGTGGTGCGGTCGGAGTGTAGTCTGTGATGGAGGTGCTCTGCAGACTGGGAGGTGGGCGCTACTTGGAAGTGTGTGCATGGGTAAGTTTGTTTCTTTTGTGTCCCCAGGACTATCCTGACGCCCTCATCACCAACTACTACGTAAGCGCTGACTCTGCAGCTGTCTCTTCTGCTTTCTTGAGTCCAAAAGTGCCCGGGAATGGGGGTCCTCCTGCCATAGAAATCCTACAGTTGGGATGACTCTTGTCCCCAGTGTGGGCACTGTGCTCAGGGAAACACCCGTTCGCCTTGTTCTTGTCTTCAGAAGCTGGAGTAAGGCCAGTGAGTCTGGGGGTCGGGTGAAAGAGGCAGCCCCCCAACCTTTACCTTCTTTCTCTTGTAGCTCTGGCCTGCTGTGCAGTTAGCCAACTTCTACCTGGTCCCCCTTCATTACAGGTAAGACACATCCTGACCCCCCCCCCCCCCGGGAAGGCGCACGGCACAAACAGCTGGATGCCAAGTGATTCTCCTTTCGACCTGGAGTCACTTGAGACCCTCGAAGAACGCTGTCCCGTCAGAGTTCCTCAGACTCTCAGGCATGCTAGTCAGACCTTCTGATCCTTTAGAGAACCTGCCCACTGACCCTCTTTCATCTTCTCAAAAAGGCTCCTGCTCATAGTCCCGTCTCCTCCGCCACCCCGCCTGAGCGCTCACCTTCGACGGCAGAGCTGCAGGGCCAGTGCCTGGGGGGCAGCGGTCTGGGTTGGACGGGAAGGGAGACCGAAGAGCTGAGGGGGAACGTGGGCCCGTGAGGCCGCTGCAGAGCACGAGTCCACCTTAATAATAAGGGTAGTTGCTGAAACCACAGTGAAAACTACAGTGGAGCTCAAGATGAGTCGTTAAAATTTTGGGCAGTGAAAGGGCATCGGGAACGGGGAAAAGTATGAAACTCTTCAGAGGCGATGGAGTCAACATTTACATGAATAGTGTAGCTTAATGGACCAGGTCCTCAACACTAGGGTCCCTGTGATACTCTTTGCAACTAGAAAAAGGTAAATTGAGAATAAAGAGAAGGAGATGCTACTTTTCATGGCCGGCAGGACGGTTTTGGAAGGTAGACTCTCTTCAGCTGGTAAAGGCGGACAAAGACAAGCATTCGGGAGCCTGGACAGGAGTGAGTAAGAACCAGTCTTGGCGGGATGATGGTGTTCTACTCTGAGGCTCAGAGACAGAGCTCGGACAGCCCCAGAACCCAGCCTGCTTGTCCTCTGGTCTGAGCCACACGTCCCTCCCTCAAGGCTGAAGGAGGGAGACCTCAGTGTAGACGTTCTCAGAGACCAGCCCTCCTTTCCCGTAGCACTTGTCCAGCTCTCCCCACCCCCCATGCTTGCTCCTCGTCCTCCTTTGTCCTCACGATGCCACCCCCCGCTGTGCCGCAGGTTGGCCGTTGTCCAGTGTGTCGCGGTTGTCTGGAACTCCTACCTGTCGTGGAAGGCCCACCGGCTCTAGGCCAGCCTCACCCCGATGTCTGTGCAGACAGTGCTGTGGCTTGACCCCAGAGCGCTCAGAGAGCCTCCTCGAAGAGGGCACATTGCTTTTCCTGGGGTTCCGCGGTCACTCAGAACTAAATGGACTTAGCACCTGACTTCTTTTGAAAGCATTACAACCTTTATAATGGTCTTATCCCCACCATGTGGTAGGCACCCCATAAATGCGTATGGTCTTGTCTGCTGTGACTCACCCCTGTATCCCACAGTGCCATCGCCCCCACTCATCACAGACACATCTGCTCTCTAACCTTCCCAGCCTAGGTGGAGCTCCGGCTCTTTGGGGGCCCCGAACCTGTATATGGCGCCTCCACAGATGTTTGGTAATTATGTAGTCTGAAACCTGTAGACGTGATGTGAGGGCCCCAGCAGAAACTATGGGGCAGTCAGAATTTCTAGAGCTGGGAAGAAGTCTAGAGACAGCCAATCCCGATCATCTCCTATGGAGGAGCACACTCAGGTGTGCTCACAAAAGTGAGGTGACGTGTCCACACCACCAGCCAGTGGCAGAGTGGAAACTTGAATCCACATGCTATAGATGAATGTTTGTGTGCCCTCCAGGATTCATCTGTTGAAAACCTAATGCACATGGTGATGTTATTAGGCAGTGGGACCTTCGGAGGTGATGAGGTCATGAGGGATTCGTGCCTTTTTAAAGCTGCCCAGACAGATCTCTCACCCCTCCCACTGTATGGGGACATAGCGAGAAGGTGCTCACTATGAAAGTTAGCCAGCTGCTTCTCTCCTGATAGCACATCGGTCAGCGCCATGGGCTTGGACCTCCCAGCTTCTAGAACTGTGTGAGAAATAAATGTTTGCTGTTTATAAGATATGGAGTTGATAGTAGTTTTGGTATAGCAGTGTGAAGAGATGAAGGCAAGTTCCCTTACTTCCTACCAAGTGATCTTAACTGAAGGTCAAAGGTACAGTAATACTGCTGCTGTGATTCCCAGAAGAAAAACTAACTTGGTGAAAATGCCACTTGGGGGCAAACTCTGAAGCAGATGGACCTGTCTTTTGTAGTCTGAAAGCACCCAGAGGCCAGAGGCTCTCTAATGGTGCCTCGATCAGTCTGGCTTAGAATTTGGACCACGGGGCTGGCATAAGACCACATGCATCCTGGCAGTGGGGGCTGCATCTGGGGTCAGAGGTGATAACAGAGCGGGAGCCAGGAGCCGGCTGTGCTCCTGAGTGCCTTAGTTTGCCGAACTGATAGTGGGGACTAGGCACTAGGGACTAGGTTAGAGCAACGCAACCTTCTCCCAATGCCTCTGGCCCCTTCTAGAGGCCAACAGCAGGGTGGGTGCCACCGACAGCCATGAAGTCCAGCCTCTCTTTGTGCCACAGAAGACCAGGCACTTGACTGCTCTGATCTGGGGACTGGCCCTAGTCCCTGCTGGCTGTTGCTAGCAGGTAAAAGGGCCTCGTGGCTCCCAGAGCAATGGTTATGCCCCAGGGGCTTCTTGCTCTCTTAAGGTGAGGCCCACTTGCAGTGCTGACCCCTGGACCCAGAGTCTGGGGTTGTGAGGTGCACCCCTCCGGGTCTAGCCAGCGGCCAGACTTGAGGCTGCGGCCGTCATTGCTTCTACAATCAGTGCATGTTTCTCGCTGACGTCAGTCGGAGCTGTCCTGGAGCTATATAAGGCTGGCGGCGGTCCCGGGACAGACCCCGGGCTCCCCGCGGTGCCCTCAGCCCACCCGAGGGACAGAGACTGGAGCTCCATCCCGCAGCACGAAGACACTCTCCGGCAACCTGTGAGTGGCTCTGAGCATCCGTCCTGACTCCCTCAGCGCCAGAACTTGGCGCTCAGCTCACCCACCGCGATTCGCCCAAGGGGAGAGAGGGAGGACCGGGCTGGGCAGCCGCTGGGGCTGGAGGGAAGGTTGTGGGTACCAGCCCGCAACTGCAGGGGCGCGGCAGGGGAGCTTGGATGCGCGCTGGGAGTGGTGCCACCTGCGACTCCCAGGCGTGCGCCTCACCCTGCGCTGCCTCTGTGTGTCCAGGGCCGGCGGCACCATGAAGCAGGGGGGACGCGCGGCGCTGCTGGTGGCGCTGCTACTCCTGGCACAGCTGCGCCCAGGGAGCAGCCAGTGGAGCCCGGAGGCGGCGGCGGCCGGAGTCCGGGACCCGAGTCTGCGCTGGAGCCCCGGGGCGCGAAACCAGGACGGCGGGGCCCGCGCGCTGCTCTTGCTGCTGGCGGAGCGCTTCCCGCGCCGCTCGGGGCCGGGCCGGTGGGGATCCCGGACCGCGGGGGAGCGGCCGAGACGGGACGACCCTCCGCTGTCCATTGATCTCACCTTCCACCTGCTGCGGACACTGCTGGAGCTGGCGCGGACACAGAGCCAGCGGGAGCGCGCCGAGCAGAACCGCATCATATTCGAGTCGGTGGGCAAGTGATCGGCGGGGTCTGCAGCCACCAGAACCTCGACCCCTGTTTCCCCACCCCCGGGCCGGGCGTGCGCGGCTGGAACTGACCCAGTCCCGCGGGCTAAAGCGGCCCAGGGATGCCCGGAGCACTCCGTGCGTCACCAATTTTTAATAAAAGTGCTGAAGAGCCTTTGGCCTCAGATGTGGGGTGCGGGGAAGCACAGCAGGGTGGGAGCCCGGGGAAAAGTGCGGCCTCCCAGGCCGGCGGGAGGGGACCGGATGCTGCCCGAGGGCTTCGGCAGAACGGCTTGCAACCGGCGTCCTGCGTCCATCGAACCCCAGGAACTCAAAGTCCTGGTGCCGCCGCACCACCCCGACCCTCTTCCCTTGGCACTGGGCTCGCGAACCCGTGCTTGATATCAAGGGGATGCCCACAGGGGTCATTCCACTTCCGCCCCTCAAATGGTCCCAGATCCGGAGAAGAGCAGGATGGTGATGGGGTCGCCCCCGAAGCTGAGGCGGAGAGTGAGCAATGAAAGGAGCCGCGGGTCTGGACGCATTAGCCCTTTATTGAGCCCCTCCCCCACGGCGGGGCGCCGAGCTGGGTGGCGCAGCGATCTCTGCGCAGGTTGTCCGCGACCCCAGCTCCAGGACCTAGGGGTCAGTGCCCGCCTCTGCCTGGAAAAGAAAGCTCAGTGGGAGGGCGCCCCAAAGGAACAAGGCAGCTCCGCACCCCGACTCACCCCTTTTCCCCAGCCACGTGGCTTTCTCCTCTATCACCCCACGCATCAGGGTCTCGCAGAGCCCAAGGGGAAAGGCTGGTGGGAAAGCGTGTACTTCTGCACGCGCGCTAGGGGGCGCCCCTCCTGCCCGGGGCAGGGCGGCACTTCAAGAGAGGAGGCCACCAGCGACTTCTGGGGCCGCAGGAAGGCGTCACGGAGGAGGTTGGGGGGGCGGGGAACCGGAGCGTAGGGCCAGCCCCGCCAGGCCCCTCGGGACGCACTCACCTTCCGGCCCCTCCGGCCGCTCTTCTTCTGGCCCCGCGCCGCCCTCTTCCCCGTCCAGTGCCACTTCCTCATCCTCGTCCTCCCCGGAAGCGCCTAGCCCCAAGGAAGGCCCCGTGAGGTGGGGTCCCTGCCGCTCCGGGCCGTGACGCACCCCCGGCCCCGGCGTCTCCTCCGGCCGCCCGGTCCCCGCGGCCCGCCGCCCCCTCCCATCCTCACGCCCTCACCCGGCTGGAAGTCGATGGTCCTCAGCATTTCGGCCACGTGCTCCACGCTCACGGTGAACTGCTCCATGCTCTCGTAGCCCGGCTCGGGCCGTCCCGCCAGCTCCACTTTCGACATCGCCCTGACCCTGCGGCGCGGCAGCCGCTCAGGGGGACCGGCCCCAGTCCCCTCACCCCCCTCCGCGTGGCGGCGGAGCCCAGGCAGCCCCTTCCCTGCCATTGCCGCTCCACCTACTCACTTATTGATCAGCTCCTTGGCCTGCTGCAGGGAAGAAAGGAGGGTGAGCGTAAGCACCGTGCCAAGCGCTGGCAAAATCCCTTTCTGGTGCCCGCAGTGCTGCGGGGCAGGCGGGGATGCATATCCCGGTTCGTGGAGGAGAAAACGGACTCAGGCGGGGGGACCTGCCCCGGGCTGTGGAGCAAGTGGGGACCAGAGAGGAGACCGGAGCCCAGCCCTCCATGTGCCAAGGCGCCCACCGCAGCCGCTCTGCAGCCTGCCTCCCTCCTCCAGGGCCCACCTGGAGGTACAGCGCCATCTGCGGCTCCTCCATGGACTGGATGGCGGACTCCACGAGCTTGGAGGAAGCTTCCAGGTGGTCTCCATACTGGCGGATGAGGCCCCGGACTCGCAGCAGCTTCTCCTCCTGCTCTCGGGCCAGCGCCTGCAGCAGCTCTGCCTTGCGCTCCTCCAGCACGGAACACAGGGCCTCGAACCTCTGGTTGAGCAACTGCTTCTGCCTCCGGCTGTTGTCCTGAAGGGGGGGGGGGAGCAAGGATGAGACCTCCAGCGGGAAGAGCACTCACCCACTTGTCCCACTCCCCATTTAAGGGACGCCCCAGACAGCCAAGAAGGAGAGTTCCCCACACACAGTGGCCGAGCATTCCTAGGTCTTTGCAGTAACAATTACAGGATTTTTTAAAATTGAGATATAAGTGACTTTTAACATTATATTAGTTTCAGGTGTGCCATGTCGGGATTCCATATTTGTATATACTGTGAAATGATAACAAGTCTAGTTACCATCTGTCACTAAATAGTTACAATTTTTTCCCCTGTGAACACTTAAGATTTTCTCTCTTTAGCAAATACAAGATTTTAAAGGACTTCAGGGGTATCTCTGGCCCTAGTTTTTACTTGTATTATCTCATTTAACTCTCAAAAATATCCAGTGAGGTAGTCGTCATAGCATTCTCATTATCACCAACGCACAGAGAAGTGAAGTAAGTGGATCAAAGCCACAGAGCTAGCTGTGGGACCCAGCTGGGATTCAAACCTTGCAGCCTGGCTAAACTACCCCAATACTTGGGATTCACCCCCCCCCAGGAACCCAGAAATGTCCCCTCCCTCCCCTTCCAGGCTCACCTCGATGGTCTGGCACACTTCCTCCATCTGCGTGATCACTGCTTGCACACGGTCGTTGCCCGCCACCAACATTGCGATGCCATCACTGAGCTCGCTCTGCCACACACACACACAGGCCAGCCCTTAGAGCTGGAGGACGCTGTCTACAGCTGTACCCTCCCATCCCAGCCAGAGCCACCTGGGAGAGGACTGCCCTGCCGCCCCACCATCAGAGCAGCCATCCCAGAGATCTAGATGGCTTGGAGCCATCCAAGAAGTGTGGAAGCACGTTTATGGATTCTGGAAGGGGGTGGAAAGAGGAGAGCCTCCACCACCAATTGAGAAAGGAATAGACATTTGCCAAATATCCACCAAATGCCAGGCCTGGGACTAAATGCTTCATCTGTAGATTCATGCCTTCCATCAATCTGGAAAGATTCTTCATAATAATCTGTTAGGATACTATTGCCTCTTCTCTATTCTCTCTGTTTTCTCATTCTGTGATTCTGAGGTGATGTATGTGTTCATATTTCTCAGTTCCCAGTGCTGCATCTGAGGCTGCTTTTTCAGGCCCCCCTTCCTGTTCGCTAATTCTCTCTTCAGAGAAATCTGTCATTTAATTCACCCTTTCAGTGTTTTATGTCAACAACCACACTTTTGTTTTTAAAAGCTCTATTTGGTTCTTTGTTAAATCTGCATGTTTGGTAATCTATTATCACTGGGGTTTTATTTCATCTTTTTCAGAAAACATTTTATATACAAGGACTCTCAATTTTTTAATAATTCTAATATCTGAATCCCTCAGGGGTTTAATCTGTATTTTTTGTTTCCACCAGCTTTACTCATGGGTTATACTTCTTTCTGTACCCTCATTTTTTGAATTAATATTTTG